AATCATTGCACAATCAGGATTTAACATGCACTAGGTAATATAATATTAACCAAAACCAGGAGCTATACAATTGTTCCTGTTCAGACTTGTCCATCTCAATTGAAGTGTGAAGAAGAAAAAAAATGCTCGTTATCTGTTCTAAATTTCCACCAATAATAGATTACAAGTTATCTGCTAGGATTGTAGTCAAGACTATAGCGCTCCAATCAAAAATACACACAGGAAGCCCAAAACAAATACATCTGTAAACCCAATCACATGATTGAATTAGCCCAAAAATATGTTGCCTTGTCTTCGACAACAGAAATCCTTGGTTATTTCCATATATACTCTTACAGAAAGAACAGGATTTTTTTTTTTAATCCACAAGGTCCTCAATTCATCTTTAAACACAGTCCCTTAAAATCTCCCCTTTTGCCATAGTAGCAAAAAGGGAGGAGTTATAGTTGCCCAGTATATTCCTGATCAGCATTAAAAGTACAATATCTATGAATACCAAATTGAGACATAAATTTACAGAGCTTACTTAGGTGGGAAAAGGCACCTAACAGGCAATTACTATGGTAGCCAGCTCTCCAATCTCTATCCTAGCAGGAAGCAAAATTCTGGAATAATAATGATGATATATATTTTAGAAAGGTATTACATGTTTATACTAGGGCTGCACGTGCACATGCATGAGAAGTGGCTGTGTGTGCACATTCCTGCGGACACAGTCAGCAGCTGTGTAAGGTTCAGCAGCTGTGTAAGCCTGGAAGAATATAAGAGCGCCACTCCTACTTTGTGCACACGCCTACATGTGAAGCCCTGCTTTCTAAGAATTTGAACAGCCCTAGTTCATAAAGTTCACAATGTGAAGTTCAAGTGCAAATTACTATCCACCCATCTTGGAGATGACAAAACACAGTGGCATAAAATCTGTTGTCCCCATTGCTGATCCCTATCTCGCCTCTACTGCCTCTGTTCCCAGTCACTGCTGGTCACCTGTCTTCTATTCAAGATTATGGGTATCTAAGCCTAATAGATATTACATATCTTGAAACCACATTTGGATGGAGTTAAAACAAGCAAAAACTCCTGCTTTATCATTAGTATAGCTAAAGATTATGCTGCATAGGTTGGGGGCAAGATGAAAACCCCCATTTCTTTCTTTTCCCACAACTCTTTGATTAAGTTTGTAAGAATCAGTAAGTAGAACATGAACATATAATTGTGATCAGCCAGATTTAAATGTATGTGTGATATATAAAATTGTTAGTATTTTCAACTTCTTCAAAACTGAAAGAAGATTAATGAACCAGAACTAGAAAGGTCATTCTCACTTAAAATTAATTTCATGCACATTTTATCAATGACTCAATCCTACAGCTTCTATGAGAAATGAGGCTTCAACAGTAATTCATTAAGTGAATGTACAAACTGAAATATATTTAGAACTCTTCTTGACACATTTTTATTGACAACAAGCCTACTACAATAATACATTGTAGGCCTACTGAAATTTTTATATTCAGAAGCTACATGGGCCACAAAAACACTTACAGAGATATGAGAAGCTAATATATATGGACAGGAAGTTTTTAAATGTATTATTACATATAAGCAAGTGTAGAAATTCAGTACTAACATCGAATAGATAAAACATGTTTGGCATGTTAGTCTAAAACATGTATGTTAGGCTTTTACAGAAATCCAAGGAAGAGCAAAGTAAGAAAGCCACTTGCTTAATAATCAGGGCTGAAAATAGCTTTCCTTTCTATTCTGCCCAAGACACTTATGCAATAAAATTATATAATATAAAGTTAACAAAATAGATCCATAAGAACCTGCACTGAGTAGGGGGATGGACTCACTGACCTAAATGGTTCCTTCTAATTCAGTGATCTATGGATCAAAAGATGTTACTTTAATCCAAGGACACACCAAGGAAAGTGAGTAATAACATCTGTGCAACACTAATGAAGGGGAACTAATATTAACATGGTAGTATATCAAGACCTAGATAGCCAATCCAACTTGACATTTGGCCTGAACCATGCATTATGTAAATAATGTTATATGTCATAATGGAGTGGAAATACTGTATTATGGTTTTGGTGAGCCCTTGATGATTGGGGGAAAGTTTGGAGGGTTTGGAGAGGAAAATTTTCACTTTGGGGAAATGGATTTGCTTGTATTCACGGATCCAGATTACTATCCACAAACTGAGTTTCAGGAAAACTGATCAGCGTAAATTATACATTTCATATTCATTCTGTGTTCTTTATGTGTTTTAAACAATAAAAATAATTTTGATTGTTTTTCAGCCATTTCATACACACTGTGCTTACACTGCACATCTCAATTCCAAGTCTATGTCGGAGTTTATGTCTATCTGTGCAGTAGTGTGTAGGAGGTTGTCCCCACCAACTAAAGGTAAGATTTTCCCTCTCTACATATGTCATGGTGAAGTATAGGCACAAAAGAAGTAATATTTGTGGTATTGCCACTATAATCATTAGGTAATATTTAGATAGCATTCATACCAGAACGTGAACTTTGTCTAGTTCTTTAAAAATTCAGCTAGTCCTCTTTTATTTTCAGTTCATTTAAACTTTCTTTAAAAATACAACTCTTTGAATAAAACACATGTATGCAAATTATAGCCACTAAAAAGCAAGGAGAGTCTGGTTGAGTTAATACATGATGGACAATGGTATAGAATTATGTACATTAATAGGAAGGTGTTTTTGCACAGCCTTCAGCTCACACATTTCCCACTACTACATACAGTATAACCTGCAGGTGGAGGTGGGGAACACGTAATCAATAAGGATTTGGCTTCATTTTAGCAGATTTCTGGCTTGTTTCATAGGAAAAGCTCTGTTGGCCCCAACAAAAGTTATATCTAATCTAGTTTTGTGTTCTCACAATAATGAAACCAGATGCTTCTTGGGAAATTCATAAGCAGGACATGAGTGCAATAGCTCTTTGCTTCTCATATTCCTTGGCACCTGGCACTTAGAGGTATGTTGCTTCTGATACTGAAGATAATGTATACCCATGAAAGCTCAGAATCATAGTTTAAAATAAATTCTTGTCAATTGCTAAATGAGCCAAAAGCAAATCTTAGCAAGTTTAGCAACCTTGAATTTATGTTAACACACTGTGTACTTTAAAACCATTATGTGCTTGTTACATGCACATATTACAGGTAGTCCTTTAGTTACAACAGCATTGGGACCAGAATTTCTGTCGCTAGGTGATGCAGCTATAAGCACAATGTCAGTAATCGCATCGCTCAGCAACGGCAATCCTGGCAGCCGTCGTAACTCCAGGACCACACAAGTCATTCAGCGAGGACCTCACATGACTGCAACATGGGAGGAGGCGGAAGTCCCAGGCAAGCAGGCTGGCAGGTGAAAGCTTAAAGTGAAACCTAGAGACAGGTGGGCGGGTGCCATAGGCAGGTGGTATGGAGCACAAGTGGGTACACAGGTGCCATGGGCGGGCAAGTGACGCAGGCAGACACTACTTGCAGTGGGTGCACAGGTGCTGCGGGCAGGCAGATTCCATGGGCAGGGTCTACAGAGCGGAGGCAGAAGGGCAGGTGCCGGGGGCAGTCACTATGGAGTGCAGACAGGGGTGGGTGCCGCAGATGGGTGAAAAAATGGCAGGAGAGAGAGTGACTTGTGACTTCCTGCCAGTTTCCCCACTGACTTTGCTTGTGGGAAGCCAGCAAGAAGTCATAAATGGTAATCATGTGACCATGGGATGCTGCAACTGTCGTTAATTGTGAGCCACTTGCCAAGTGCCTAAATTGCGATCATGTGACTGCAGGGATACTGCAACAGCTGCCTACAGACACTGCAACTTCATGGACCCATCATAAGTCCCCCTCATTCAGCGTTGTTGAAACTCTGAATAGTTGCTGAACAAGTGGTCATAACCTGAGGACTACTTCTAACAAGCCAAAAATCTGCTACAATGAATTCATATTGCAAAAGGAAGAAATATTTATGCAGTCTTCTTTCTATTTGTGCAGATAATAGTAAATTATGATTCACTATTACAAACGACTACAATCTATGTATAAAACGTAATTCTTACCCTTGTCCCACCCCACTGCTAGCAGCCTCGGTACAGTTTCTTCAATAAAATTTTACGCCTCATCTCTAGAAGGTTTAGCTAAATTAGAGGTGGGTAGACTCACCATGGTCCACATCTCTCCTCCCAGCATCCATTTTACAGTCCCTAGGGTACCCTCCAAAGCTGACAGGGCCAAAATTTTGGGCTCCAAGTTTTCAGAGGTTAAGTTGCAAAATAGAAACCTTAGGTTTTGCAGAAGTTTGAGGCACCCATTTTACACTAGAAAAACTCCTGATGCCCCCAGTAATTATCATTTTTGCCTTGGAGGAGTTTAAGGAATCCTTAAATTCCCCCAAGTATGTGCAAGCAAGTCTCCCAAATGGATCCAAAATATCAGCTCAATTCACTGTTGATATTATGAGTTTGTTAGTTATACCCACAGTGGCTCTAGGTAGCTAAACAGTAATAATAAAAAAGTGCTACTCTTAGCCACAAATAATTGCTCCTCTTTCAATTCAAAATAGTCTCTGACAACCCCCACCCCCGTGCTAGAATTGTTTAAAATCTTCAATGACACAAGTTGTTGACAACTCCTTTGATCGCTAGAGATTCCAGGTGAAAGTAATGGCTCTGATTTGACTTTGGTCTCTTAACTGCATAGGCCTTACTTCATTCAGCTGCTGCTTCTCAAGGATATCCATATGTTCATAAAATGTTTGCAAATGCAGAAATAAGGAGCCCCCCCCAAAAAAATACTGCGATAGCATGGTCTTTCTGAGTGTAGATTAATGAGAAAAAAAAAATGAATATGAATGGAGAAATGGCAGACAATAGTGGGAAATGGGAGCAAAGAACCAAAGCACATATGTAATTCTTCATAATAATACTACCAAATGTATAAGAAAAGAAAATGTTATTAAAATGACTCCTACCTTTCACTGTGCTTGTAGTGAATTTATTTCCAAATTCTTGCTCCTTTGGTTTCAATAACTGTGGAGCTGTTACCCCTGGCGGTTGTGGGAAATGGAATAAAGGCTTTCCATTTGTAACCATTTGTCTCCTGGGACTTAAAGCAGGAAAGTGAATATTACAGTCAATAGCACTGCTCTGATGAGCCACACCTCCTCCAAGAGATGTCTTTAAATGTGAGGTGGTAGGTAGGTTTCCAATAGCAGGGCCTGGGGTGCTACTATTAGAAGAAGCAGAAGGAGTTTCTATATGCAGTTTAATAGATGGGATCTGCTGCGCATTTACCATCCCAGGCCTGTGAGGAGTGCATGTTGTCCGGTGGCTCATACTGCATGCCCTGACATTCATTGCCAAAGGATTCTTCTCCTAAAGATATGCAGTAAAATCCCCAGATGTTGAAGACATCGGTCAGCAGTCAATGACTTATCCATAGTGCATTATGCCTGTTATAAGGGAGGGGAGACAATAAAATAACTTATACTGTAATAAAATGCAAGACTTCAGAACTGTGCTTTGTGTTAACTGTAGGAGGCAGAACTATTGATTGTGTGAACGTCAAAGCAGAAGCAATTACAGAGAAAAACCTCTGGGGATAAGGACAAATGATTACTGAGAACTATAATGAAGAGAAATAGTGCCCCTTAAAAGCAGAAGTTAACAGTAAGGTCAGCTACCTTTGTACTAGTTAACCAGCCATGAAATGGAATGAACACTAAGCAAATGAACAAAGCCAGGACAAAGTAAAAACACAACTGTAAATGGAAGCTGTGCTTAAGAAGAGGTTTTTTTTTTTAATTTGTACCTTATGATTCTTTTAAAAAGGGGATGCTAAAGCATGTTCAACGATTAAGCAATATTGAGCCCAAGAATATGACATCATTGACAGTTTACACTTTCACAATGAGGAATACAATAAGATAGAAATCAGAACAGCATACTTCAATGTATCAGCACAGGCAAAAGGTAAGGAAAGAATAAAATACTTTAAATAAAATATGGTGCATGCATTTCCAAAATATATGTGTTATTTAACACTTAATGCACATTAAAGCTGTGCATGCATCAAAAAGGATTCAGAGGAATGCTTCAGACTCTGGACAAATGTAGCCTCTCTTCTATTCATGAAACCAGCCTCACTTTTTCAGAATTACATCAGAATTTGAAAAAAAAGATGGTGTTGTTTTAAGGAGTCCACTTGTGTAACTTATTATGAAGGTTATATTCTATTGATTATTTTGTTACCGCATTATTTATTTTAAACTTAATTACCATGAGAAGGAATTGTAAGTCTGGCCAATTGGAGTAGCAATCAGCTGTTAAAGTCAAGCAACTTTAATGAACATCAGAGAGGCATTCACATGATGCTCAAAGCACTTCTTCTGAATCATTTTTGCAGCATGTACATCCCTAAAGTGCAATAACTGCAATTAACATAGACCATGAAGTTTCAGCTGTGACCAGTATCATGCTTGGTACAGTAAGGTAGTTTTCCTTAACTATCCATACGTACAGACATCTAAATTTGTACGTAGAAGCTATGTTGGTATGGGAGAAATTAAGCAGATACTAAACAAAATGAAAATCAGAAATTCAAAGTTTTCTGAATCTCTATATACAACCAGGTTATTCAAATTGCCTTTAATGCCTCATTCTGTTGTTGAAATTTCAGAGGCAGGGGCATCTGCACTGACCGTCATTTGTTTCAAAATATGGGTGTGACCAGGCAATCAAAGTCCTGCCCCTTTTTAACATACATGCACATGTTGCATGCATATAAAAAGAGACAATCACTCCCTTATGCCTGCAAGTCTAAAACCAGTGAGCACTGCTGCAGATACCCTTGTTTAGAGGCACAGAAGAAGCCAGGATTCCTTCCCTTTTATGTCAGTCCATCTACCAATGGTTATGGGAGATAATGATTTAGTTAAGCCTGGGAGGAGTCAGAATGTGGTTTGTCGGTTTCATTAACAATTCCCCTCTATCTTCACATTTATAATTGAGTGTTGCTGTTCTATTTATTTGCATGTATAGATTATGCTAGCTCAGCCTAATATTTACTTATTTATCTATATATTTATTTATGTATCACATTTGTACAGCCACCCATCTCACGTGTGACTCTGGGTGGCTTACAATAATTAAAACAATAGCAGAAACAATAAGAATATAATCACAACGTACAACTGCACTAAAACCACAAATAAAAATTCAATAAAACATAGTCACAGTGGGCAGTACAAAAGAAATACATCAAAATACTTTGTTATCTAAAGAGTACATATGAGGATCCAAATGCAAAACAAATATAGGGAGGAAGAGTGAATGGATTAAAAGCAAGGGAAAGACCAGTAAAGTCATGATTGGATGGAAATAGTGCAATCCTCAAAAAGGGAGAAGTGGGAAGTTTAACGAACAAAAGGCAATGTATGGAGTGATGGGCTTACTGGAAACAAGAGTGAATTGGATGGACAGAAAAATATGGAGAGGTATAACGTATGTCAGTGTGACCTATATTCAGCTATGTTTCACTCATTTTCTTTTCATTACCTAATATCTTTTTTTTTAACATGATGTTTTTTACTTGTTTTCTGTTCTTTCTGTAATACCGCTTACCCCAAAAGGGAGTAGCAATATGGATATGTATGTACAGTGCATTCGGAAAGTATTCAGACCCCTTCACTTTTTTCAATTTTGTTATGTTGCAGCTTGATACTACAATCGTTCAAATTCATTTTTTTTCCTCATTAATCTAGACTCAGTACCCCATAATGACAAAGCAAAAACAGAATTTTAGAAATGTCTGTAAATTTATTAAAAAGGAAAAACTAAAATACTACATTGGCATAAGTATTCAGACCCTTTGCAACAACACTTGAAATTTAGCTCAGGTGCTTCCAATTTCTCTTGATCATTCCTGAGCTGTTTCTACACCTTGGCTGGAGTCCACCTGTGCTAAATTAAATTGATTGGACATGGTTTGGAAAGGCACACACCTCTCTATAGAAGGCCTCATAGCTGACAATGCATACTGTATCAGAGCAAAAGCCATGAGGTCAAAGCAACTGCCTGCAGAGCTCAGAGACAGGATTATTGCAAGACAGAGATCTGGGGAAGGCTACAAAAAAAATTCTGCTGCACTGAAGGTTCCCAAGAGCACAGTGGCCTCCATAATTCTCAAATGGAAGAAGTTTGGCACAACCAGGACTCTTCCAAGAGCTGGTTGCCTGGCCAAACTGAGCAATCAGGGGAGAAGAGCCTCAGTAAGAGAGGTGACCAAGAACCCAATGGTCACTCTGACTGAGCTCCAGAGATCCTGTGTGGAGATGGGACAAAGTTCCAGAAGGACAACCATCACTGCAGCCCTCCACCGATCTGGGCTTTACGGCAGAGTGGCTAGACAGAAGCCTCTCCTCAGTGCAAAA